TCAAGCCGATCTTGTAGCGGACCATTAAGGGTTTGAAGAGTTCTAGACGTGGCAGATAAATCGGGTTTTGTGCCCCTTCGTACCATCTTGAGCCTTCCACCTTTCCCATTAATGTGAGCAGACATAGCAGTCATCATCACGGAGTATGTCATCCGCGTGGCAAAAATATTGCGAATGGATTTCATCAAGGTCCTTTTCAACGAAGATTGAAGACTTTTCAGCTATGAATTCTTTCCATTTCAGACATTTTAAACAATTTGAAGAGACTGCTCCTTCAAATTTGTTAAGCCTCTCACCAAACATACGCAGTGGTTCGTCACGCAATGTAAGTCACACAATGATCGGTCACGCTCAAATATAGAGCTTTTTATTTGTCAAAAGTGTTGGAAGGAAGCTAATATTCCGACATGCACAGACTACATGCACTGCAACCATGGCATACAAACAAATCTGTGAAATCTCCATCTTTCGTTCGAGGAATAACGGACTCTAAGAAAGTTACAATCGGTCATCACATAAATGACGTACAAGTCAGGACCTTGGCCGAAGAGGTCTGGGTTCTTCAGTCACGCGAAAAGTCGCGCTCATATTTCTCCTCTTCGTTCTCTCCTGTTGTTTTTCTTCAGTGTTTTATGTTGCGAAGCTTGGTCGGGATTCGTTCTGTTCTAATCAACAGTTGTATTCTAAGACGATCTAAGCACACCATGCGTCTTGTTCAGTTCGTTGAATCTGGAAGGCAGCGAGTTGGGGTCGAGATAAAAGATGGCGGCGACGTGGTTGATGTTAGTGCTGGTGAGCCCTCCATTCCCAGTGATATGAAGTCATTCCTGGCTGGGGGAGAGGACATGATGAGCAAAGCGCAGAGGTATTAACTCTTTAGTCTCATTTTTTTTTTTTTTGAAATCTGTTATAGTTGATGCGTGGAAGGTCTTTCAATGCAATTCCGCTTGTGGGACACCCGCTTGTACTGATAGTATTTTCCTACCCCCCAGGGCTCCTCCCCGTCTCTCTCCCCCTCCTCGTCCTGCCCCGCCTTTGGCTCACATTTAACAGTCAAAGTTTGTAAACCCCCAGAACATACATACACATACATCACCCTCAAATGATAGCGATCCATAGCTTCTATGTTTTGTGGGAAATAAAACTTACAGTCCTTTTCGAAAATAACAAGAAGGGCAAGAACTTGGCGAGATCTTGGTGGCAAAAAACTCTGGCAGCCAAAAGCTCGCACTCAGCGAGATTTCAAGAAGACTTGCCAAGAACTTGTTGTGATTCTCGGTAGTTTTTGGCTGCCGAGATTCTCATCGAGATATCAAAATCTCAGAGGCCAAAAACTTGCCGAGAAACTGGAAGATTTCTTGGCAATCTTGCCAAGATATGAAAATGTCAACATGCAGATCCAGATTTCATAAATCCCTTGGGAGAAATACAGTGTAGCCTCTAGTAGACAAAAGAAATGCACTGAAATATGACTCCACTGTGTCAAAAACAACCAGATTTATTGACAGATAAGATCATCACCCTGGGGGGACTCCCATATAAGAAGGATGGGGGGTGGGCCCTTGTCGTACCTTTTAGGGGTTAAAAAGCAGTTTTGGTACCTCCTAAGTTGTTAAGACTCAAAAGGCCCACAGCTGGAGATTTTGCGGTACCTTTTAGGGTATTGAGCTGAAAAAATATGACTGGCGATACATATATGTAATGTGTTATGAAAAAATTGGTACCTCTTAGAGGAGAAGACAATTTCCAGCCACGCCCACAAAACAGGATCTTGGTACCTCTTAGGGGTCCTTATATATATCAGATGCAATTCAGAAAAGCTTATATGAAGTATCAGACACTTTCACCCTCACAACCTCTTTCCCAGGAACTCTCTCTCTCCTCTGCCTCCCTTGTTGTTGGGAGAAATCACCCTTATAAACTCTTGGTCTTCAGCCATCGTAGCTTGATTAAAAATATAAAACAGATGGCGATGATAAACATTTTAAAAACATGCAATTTATGATACAGTATAGATAACCCCATTGAAATATACCCCCATTGATACAGTATAAATAGCTTTCCAAAAATGTTAGCGGTTATACTTTTGAAAATGTATGTTGACTAGCATACGAAACGTCAAGTTCATAAAATGCATGTTTGTAAAATGTTTATCACCGTTGTCTGTTTTATATTTTTGAAACCACCCTTGTTGCAGCTGGTGACGTGACCACCCAGAATCTGAGTGGTAGGAAAATTTGTAGGGTGGGAGGGGTGGTAGAGTGCTTTGTTTTTTGCTGTGACAAACTTTGAGGGTTTCAGGTCCTCAAGCAGTAGCTAGAAACTACCTGCTTTATCTCCAAAATATAGAGGACATTCGTTCACAAAGAAATTCAACGGCCAAGTGGAGCACAAACTTTTCTACGTTTAGTACATGTTGAACGCCATTTAACAAACTCGCGTACTGAATTGAAGTGAAACCAGTGGATCAGTCTCTTGATTCCTTGAATTGGAAGGTAATTTGTTTTCTTCTTTCTGCAGTATTTTGGGTGTTAAATTTTAAGGTATTCTGTCACATGGCCGATTAGCCAAATATTCTGACTTGCATTTGATTTACTGTAATGTAAAATGATTTACAGTTTTGTTGACATAAGCCCTCTCTTATATTTCACCTGTATCAGGTTTATGTAAGTTTATATTTAGACAGATGTTTAAACATGTTTCCTTGGCAAAGTCAAGAATTATGTTTTGAAAAAATGGTGAATAAAACATTGTTTTACATAATGAATAATGTTCCGTGGGTTTAATTCAGGCAACATGAAACAGTAAAATAGTTTTACTTCTTAGTAAATCAACTGGCTGGAATTGAAATCAGAGTGATGCTGGATATATATAAGCTTAAATATCATTTGTTTGACCTGTGTGAAGCTTAGAATAGGACTGAAGAATTTCAAAGGTGTATTTGCCCATGTGTGGTTTAATAAGGCCACAACCAGCAATCACCTTTCTTTTGCTTCAGTTGAGATAAACAAAAATTATTTGTTGACTCTACCCCAGTGCAAAAGTTTGTGTCAAAGGTGGTCACATGACCAGCTGCAACCAGGGTCTTTCTTCCAATGACAAGGGAGGCAGAGGCGAGAGAGCCTGGTAACCAGGTTGTCACCTTCACTTCACATTTAGCTACATTTTATGAAAGGAAAATCAACATTACTGAAATTAGAAATACAGGAGAATTAACCTTTATCCCTGGGTCAACGTCCTTTGCCTAAAGCAAACAAGAAAATTAAGCTGATGTACTAGAATTCCTGTCAGCCGCAAAGAATTGAAGGAAATTACTTTGGCTTGGCTACAAGTTCACCTCAGAGCAAATGTCATAACAAGGTTTACCTTCATCAACTGTTCAAGTTTTGTACAAGATTCCATGAATCCTCTTGTGATTACTCACACTTGCGATGAAAACGTCAGAAATTACTTTACTGTAATTCTTTTCTTGAATGAAGCAGCTCTTTCCACAGTAACTAAGTCCAATCTAACAAGCAAATTTCCTACAACAAGAACTTTGTAGTGAATTCTTCTGTCGTGACTTCAACTATGAGGGATGGCCTGTACTTTATCCCACATGACTTAAGATATCCAATCAGTATCACAGCACTTAGTTAACAATCTTGGCAGGAAGCAGTATTCCCGCAACTAGTCTGTCTGCCACCAGCTGTAATGCACAAGGAAAAGAAGTGAAGAAATTTTCCTCCCTCTACAAAGCCAAATTTGAAAAATAACTTTTTGGAGACAATTGAGCCATCATCAAATACATTGAAATGGTCATTGAGTAACTCAAAGTTACTTGCCTGCTCATAACGGCTAAAAGACAGACCAAAATTTCAATAAGAACATCAATAAAACTCTTATCTTGAAAAGCGACTAGCATACATCTCTTTGTTGCCATAAAAAAGTAGATCGCTCCATCCACTTTGTCAAGTAAAAGTTTGGTAAATAAAACCAATCCATGTCAGAATGTCTTTGCTTTATTTTTGCACTTCCTGCATTTGAAATCAAACTGAAAAGTGAATGGCTAATGGTCAACCACAAAGCAGTTTATTTCCACACAGAAAATTACTCATTCCCTCTGGGAATGATCTTGGTTATTATTCTCTACAATCCCATTGGCAGTTTCAAGGAGATCTCAGCGATATGTTGGCAATCTCAGTAAGATGTTTGTGTCTTTCCAAATCTCAACGAGATCTCAGCGAAATTTAGAAAGACTCAAACATCATAGCGATCTGTCTCGTCAATCTCAGTGAGATCTTGCCAATCTCAGTGCTGATTACCCTACAGTTCTAGATCCTGTTCAGCAGTTGGAAAGCGAATAATTAATGCCTGGCCAACTTCTTCCAATGGCTCACTTTCAAGGACAATGCTACTTGAGTTAACTCGTGTGATGTTGGTCTTTTTTCTGTTTATGGCAAAATTGAAGTATTCCAGCTGTGCTGTGGGCATTTAGGTATATCAGTGTACTCCAAATGGCTGACCTGTTTTGACGTTGCTTTAGGGCCAGTCATTTAACCAATCAAAAGTATATATTTTCTGAAAGCTTAGTTATTGTAGATGACTGTGAGATCATCAATGAACACATGCCATGTTGGATAGAACTACTTTTAATGTGATATCACGTGATACAATGTAGGCTCGCACTGGGTGCAGAGGGACGGATACAATGACAAATTATTACATGGCAATATTATAAAACTTTATGCAGTGAATACTACACAGTATAGCCATAACTTATTAGACACTAATATGAGATACTTGAATTTTAGGATTGTAGATAGTGGTCAGCATGTATTGAAGAGGTCGGATGTTCAGCTGAAAGCTCCAATTCACAATCCTGAAAAACTCATTTGTATTGGAATGAACTATGTCGACCACTGTCTGGAGCAGAATGTTCCTTTACCTACAGAACCTATCCTATTTAGCAAGTTCAATAATGCCATCACAGACCCAGGAGCACCAATTATTTACCCTGATGAGACACAGGTTTGTGTCATCCTTATATCTAATATTAAATTTATGTACACTGAAATAAATAAAATATACTTGATTATATAACATGTGCACAGCATAATTGGCATGAACTCCTTGTCATGGGCCTGTTGACTTTGTGCCTCATTCTGAACAATGGAAGTTCTCTGTTCTACAGATCATGTGCTCACACCTCACAGATCAAAATATCAAATAATTTCACTTTGCCCTATGTGGTTTGGTCATCTTACTAGTTAGAGATTAAGACAGAAGGAAAGGCCTAAGCTAACAGTTACTAACAGTAATTAGGCATTGCATTGGCCTTATGGTTAGGGTGATTGGTGCTGATTCAGATGGTGGATTCAAGCTCTGGCTGGGGTTATTGTGTTGTGCTCAGTTGGGCTAGACACTTAACAATCTTCAAACTGCTTCTCTCACCACTCAAGTGTATAAAAGGGTACATGTACCAGCAAATTAAATGCTCCCAGGTAACCTTGTGATGGACAAGCATCCCATCCAGGGGGAGGCAGAAATACAGGAGATATATACAGTATGTAGAGAGTACCCATCTGGTAAAGAAGAGTCCCATTCAGCCAAAGCTGTTCTGTTTTCTGTAGTATTCAACATCTAGACTAGGGTTGTTTCTCCTTCTTGCTGGATGAGAAGCTAGTCCATCAATCACAGGATTAGTTACCCCCAAGATTTAATTTGCTGCTACTCTGTGATCCAGTTAAGTGTATATTACCCAAGAACACAGTACATTTATGACCTGGACCAGGACTTGAACCTTGATTCAGTGTTCTAATTTGATTCCAACAAGCTAGCCACTACACTAGGTTGCCACACCTTTAAAGCAAAGAGAGACGGGAGTCACCCATGTTTAGTAAATCACTGTGTCATAAGGTTACTATAGGTAGCACTTTTGATCAGTTTGGGCTATGTAATGAATTCATATACATTAAAAGTAAACTTTATTGTCATAAAGGCTGTAATGGTGTTGCAATCTGAAAAATTGTTTTTTAAGTGTTGTGACATCCTTCTCTTTTATTTTCGTTTTGGCAAAACCTTTTGCAAACTGTACTACTTTGTCATTGTGTCAAAGTATTTTATTGAGATTTCTTTGAAAACTTGATAGTTGGTCTCATGATATCATAAATGACATGTTGCAAACAGTTTGAGGTCAATATCTGTACTTTCTTCTAGGAACTAGACTTTGAAGTGGAACTTGCTTTTGTTATTGGGAAAACTGGAAAAAAGATCAAGGTATGCAATGCCAAGTGCTATGTAGTTGTAAACGTTTGTACGCCTTGCAGACCTATGATACATGGTTGATGTGAAATAATGTTATT